TAGACGTAATTATGACATTTTAAAAACACATCAGGAGCATCACTCTGAGTTACCTAAAATAATAAAAGAGAGACTAGTCATTGTGCAATATAGTTTTTTTTTAAATTATTATTATTTCGACAAGGCTTAAGTTGTTTGACAGAAATACACACACACACACTAACAACAACAATAACAATAAAATGGAAATAGGCGTCTGAACAAAAGAATGCCCCTGACGAAGGGATTTAACTGTCTAATTGTAATGAATGGTTTTACACTTCATAAAACAGGCAAAAGTTAGAATTAGCAGGGAAATCTGACTCTATGTTGCGATTGAACAGGACGTCACTTACATTAATACGTATGTAATTACAAATGATCTTATTAACACGGTGAAATGAACATTGCTTGCAGAGAGACAGCAAAACCACCATAAACTGACTTGCTTAGCTGGGGCGAAATCATGACGTCATGATTTTAGGACTGAAGTTTGAGGGTTGCCAGGATATAAACAAACCCCCGCCCAATTGCTACTAAAAACTACCGCTGGAAAACCTTGGCAACACTGCGAGGTTGCGCAGGCGCTGTGAGGGGGAAACAGGGAAACTGAATTCACCGGAACACCGCTTCATGAGCAGCTACGTTTGTTTGAAGAAGCGCAACACACGCCGCACGCGCTTATACCAGCTAGTGTGGACATGCAGTTACTCACATATCAACATATGCGATACAAGACAGGATTGAAGACTTCAGCCGAAGTCTAGACAGCGAATTTTTTTTATTTCTTTCTTTTTTTTATTGCAGAGAACGGAAACATACAAAGAATAAGCATACATCACATAATATCAACCACAAAAATAAAATGGAAACAAATCACAAAAAGAATAAAATAAAGATAAAGATAAGAGGGCCATCATCTAAACATGATCACATGAAGAGATCAAAGGCAGAGCAAATCCTATCAGTCCTTATAGCGTTCTTATTAGTAGATACTGAAATTACATTCATTCTTGGAGGAAACAAAAATCAGATTTAAATTGTTTGAGATATAAGAAAACAGCCTTTCTCTTAGTGAGATTTCTTAGCCCTCTAGCAAAGTCTAGACAGCGATGCAGAGACTGATGGGCGTGATGATGACGCAGAACAAACCCGGGTGTGCATTGAGATGTTTGATGCAATACTAGCAGGATTTGTGAGGCTTTTGCAGGGCTAGAGATCTTATTAAACGGTATTGATATTAAAAATAGAAAATGTAATCAGATATTTTTTTTGATATAACCATTTTGAGAACATCAATTGGAAATTGATTTGGACTTATAATACAAAATACTGTGTTATTAATAAAGTTAGTGAAATTTACTTTAAAATTATACATACAAGTTATCCAACTAACCAATTCCTCAAGAGATACAAAGCTCTGAATATTGTGTTTTTTGTGGAATGCATGTTGAGACTTGCATCTTTTATTTTTTTGAATGCATGTATGTTCATTTTTTTTTGATTGATATTGAATGTTTGTTTACTATGCTGAGTGGATCTAAAATTAATATAAGGAAAAGAGATGACATATTTTAAGTTTTATATGCACAAATGTAAATGGTCAGAGAGGAGGCCCAATATCAGTACCCTTATTTGTCTTTCATAAAATGTGAATGTCCTGTTTGTAATATCTTGTTATATGATATAAATGTTTAATGTTCAGCATATACAATACAAAAATGGTATGAGATGTTACAATTTACAGTAAGTGTTAAACTGAATTGCAACATACTCTTAAATATGTCATCAGTTTTACTTCAATATGACTTTTCCGAAAGAAAGAAAAAAAAATATATATAGGAACTAACTTGATGAAATTTGAAAGTTTAAAGTATTTTAAATATTTTTATTGAACTTTAAATATTCTATTATTTTATATAACAAGGATATTCTAATGCACATCATACATAGACATAAAATTAAATAATTATTAATGTGGGAAAAACACAAAATCACACACACACACACTTTAAATATCTATCTATGCTCCCTTATATTAAATAAAGACAGTAAAAGGGCAAAAATAAGACCGATGCATCTGTTGCATGAGCACATGTCTGTAATTTTACACAAGTAATCAAGATATTACAACATCTCCATATTCTCCATTTACTGTCCTGCACAAAATCTAATGTTGTACCTTTATATTTTGAGACCTGAGTTAACATGAAGAAACTATAAACAGTTTTGTTTTTATTAACTAACATAACTCTCAAAAATATTTAGATTTAAATGTAAGGTTTATGTATTTGAATTGCATATAAAATAAAAAAATGACACTCAACAAAATAACTAAAACTTAAAAATGAAAATGCAAAGAAAAAAAAAAACATCAAACGATTAATAAAAATGAAAATGACAGTAAAATAAGATGTAAATGTGGTAAAAGTGCAGTCAAACAATGGCGCCTTATGCGTGATATCAAATGCTTCCGCAGATTTATAGCATTACTGTAGCATTTCACCTGAGCATTGCGAATCACAGGTATGGCCATGATAAGCGTGAAAATCCCTTTATTCAGATTCAGAAACAATGAGAGTGAAAACAGTTTCAATGAGTTACAAACTTTATTATTTTCCATTGACTTTGCCAACATGTTGAAAACCCTTCTTCTTCTTGTTCTTCCTAAATATCTTAGTAAAGCCGGCAGACTGAACCTGAAAAACAAGAGCACGTTACACATTCAAGCCTAAAAACACGATGCTACGACATTTCTCACAACATGCAGTTAAAACAAACACAGGCAAAGCAAGTTTATTTATACAGCACACCAAACAATGTAGCTCCTCAGAAACAGTTGTGGTTGCAACAAAGTGGTTGCCGAGCAACACACAAACGTAAACAAAGGTGTGTTACTTTGTAGAGTAATTTACAACAGCTTCGAACGTGGCTCAGCCAATCAGAATCAAGCACCGGAACTCTCTGTTTTATAATAAAGCCTTACTTTCATATGATGTGCAATATGAATATGTGACCGAGAGGAGATGGTTAACTAGGATATATATATGTATATAAATTCTAAATATAAAAAACTATAGTAGCAAAACTACAGATATGGTAAAAACTATTTTAAATAAAATGATCAAGGATGTAAACAAGTTTTTCTGTCAAGTCATATAGTTCATAAATAACAAAAAAGCTCTCATATTCATCAAATATTTTAATAGAAATGAAAACGAGCCAAATGCAGCAAACAAACACTAGAAACCCATGAAGCTCAGCAGCTTTAAAACACTGAGCTGTTGAAGAAAAACCGGCTCGGATCCGACTAGCTGGTCTTAAACGAAGTGTTGCTCTTTCAAACATAATGAGAATCATAATCACCAGTCCATGATTACATCTGCAACATGTGATATTCTCACCTTCACAACAGCCAAAAGATTCCCGCATAAAGATGAAGCCGTCAGAAACGTGGTTTGCTGGTCTTAGCTGGTTTAAGCTGGTCTTGGCTGGTTTAAGATGGTTTTGGCTGGTTTAAGATGGTTTAAGATGTTCTTAGCTGGTTTAAGATGGTCTTGGCTGGTTTAAGCTGGTCTTGGCTGGTTTAAGCTGGTCTTGGCTGGTTTAAGATGTTCTTAGCTGGTTTAAGCTGGTCTTGGCTGGTTTAAGCTGGTCTTGGCTGGTTTAAGATGGTTTTAGCTGGTCTTGGCTGGTTTAAGCTGGTCTTAGACTACTGGGAACCAGTTGGAAGCGTTTGAGCGGAAACCTGTTATTTCCAACATTATTCTGGCGACGAGAAATCAATGCCATCGAATGAAGCAATAAAAACATTTGACTGTAATCTGAACACAGTTTGGAAATGACTCAAAGAGAACACGATCTGCTCACGTCGCATCCCAAAACCAATGGAAATACACATAAATATAAGAGCATAGTTGTTCATTTAAATTGTGAAGCACTTATGCAGCATGGCTGTATTGGTTATACTGCCGGTGATTAAAAATACTGCATTACAGTAATGAAAATAGAACAAAAAAGTGGATCTTTTACAATAATGGCTAAAAATGTGTTTCACTATTATGAAAATAATGTGACAATGCAAGAAAAAAAATCTTTATGGTCCTAAAAAAAAAAAGCATAACTAAAATACTAATTTCATTTTGTTTAAATTTGTTTAGTACACAGGACTGACGAATCCAGGTCACATTTCACGCCTAAATACAAAGAAGAAAGAAATAGAGTTTTACACAAAAATGAAGCATATTTAAGTCTCATCAATACTTTTAGAACGGTGATTAAAAAAAAAAAGCATAACTAAAATACTAATTTCATTTTGTTTAAATTTGTTTAGTACACAGGACTGACGAATCCAGGTCACATTTCACGCCTAAATACAAAGAAGAAAGAAATAGAGTTTTACACAAAAATGAAGCATATTTAAGTCTCATCAATACTTTTAGAACGGTGATTTTCAAGCTAAATATACACATTTTAATCCCACATTCTTATCATAAAGATAAATAGTAGATTTTATATATATATATATTTATAATTGGCATTTTCAGCATTTATATATATATATATATATATATACTTTTTCAAATATATAATTATATATGTTTTTATATTATAAAAATATAATGCAATATAATATAATTAGTTACAGTTTATTGTAATATTATACTATTATTTAAATGTTTAAGGAAAGAGAATGATTTGTTAGTTTGTAGAGAACGAGGGGAAATGTGCTTAAAGGGTTAGTTCACCCAAAAATGAAAATTAGGCTGCGTTTTACTCACCCCCGAGGCATCCTAGGTGTATATGACTTTCTTCTTTCAGACGAATCCAGTCCGAGTTATATTAAAAATTGTCTTTGATCTTTCAAGCTCTATCGTTGTACTCAACTGAAGCATGCAACACCAGCTGAGTACAACGATAGAGCTTGAAAGATCAAAGACAATTTTTAATATAACTCGGACTGGATTCGTCTGAAAGAAGAAAGTCATATACACCTAGGATGCTTCGGGGGTGAGTAAAACACAGCCTAATTTTCATTTTGGGGTGAATTAACCCTTTAACTCTCCTGAAAATAATGTGCAACATACAAAACCCCAAAGCTTTTAATAATCAGCTTCATTTTCTTTATGCAAAACACTTTCTTTCTTTCGTTCTTTCATTCATTCTTTCTTTTCTTTCCTTTCATTCATTCTTTCGTTCCTTTCTTCTTTCTTTCTTTCCTTTCATTCATTCTTTCTTTCCTTCTTTTTTGCTTTCTTTCCTTTCCTTCTTTAGTGCTTTTTTCATTCTTTCCTTTCATTCATTCTTTCTTTCCTTCTTTTTTGCTTTCTTTCCTTTCCTTCTTTAGTGCTTTTTTCATTCTTTCCTTTCATTCATTCTTTCTTTCCTTCTTTTTTGCTTTCTTTCCTTTCCTTCTTTAGTGCTTTTTTCATTCTTTCCTTTCATTCATTCTTTCTTTCCTTCTTTTTTGCTTTCTTTCCTTTCCTTCTTTAGTGCTTTTTTCATTCTTTCTTTTCATTCATTCTTTCGTTCTTTCTTTCCTTCTTTCTTTGTTGCTTTTTGCTTTCTTTCCTTTCCTTCTTACTTTCCTTTCTTTCCTTCTTTTTTTGTTTTTCTTTCCTTCTTACTTTCCTTCCTTTCATGCATTCTTTCTTTCCTTCTTTCTTTGTTGCTTTTTTTCCTTTCCTTCTTTAGTGCTTTTTTCGTTCTTTCTTTCTTTCCTTTCCTTCTTTCATTCTCTTTCTTTCATTCATTCTTTCTTTCTTGCTTTCTTTCTTTCTTCGTGAGATGGTCCAGAACTCATCCCGCTGTACAAACATCAGTGTCTCACTTAGCAATGAACCGTTGGCTAAACTAGAACCGCTAACCGGTGAAGAAGAAGATCCAGGAACAAGATGAAGAGGAGCTCAACAGGTAGAATAACTGGAGTGCGGATCTCAGCATTCAGTGTGAGACGCTTTAGCAGCTACAGAACCAGATCAAGACACTTCAGTGTTTGTGTTGGACTGAGACTAGCGTGTAAACCCCATCAATGTCTTCGTCTCTCTTCTGGATCCTGATGGTGCGGTCGAATGTGTTTCAGATCGAAGCCAGCCTCAGTCTCAGAAACACGTTCAGCTCATGATCAGCACCAAAACCACAACACACAGAACTCTTCATAGGCTTCACACGTCACATTATTCTCATGACTATCCAAACGGTAACATTACTGTAATGCTAAATCATTCTGTCCAGACCCTGTTTTTATTCATTTTAAATAAAATTATTAAAAACCGCATACATTAAATTCAGTACAACTACTATTTTCCATTGCAATAATGCCATTTTTGCTTTGTGGTAACGAGAATAATATTTCACATTACGGTAAGTGAGAATTGTGGAGAAGGTGTGCAATTGTCACAAAAAAAATTACATGATAATTGTTCATTAAATCTTAATGGTCCTAAAAAATAATTGTTTCGGAATATTACATATATAATTCGAATCATATAATTATGCATGTAAAAAAAATGTAAATATATAAAACATTAAATATTTCAATCCATCAAGTCCTAAAATAGGTATTTTTAAAGCTAAATTTTCAGCATATATATATATATATATATAATCATATAATTATGCATATAAAAAAAAAATTCATATAAAATAATAAATGTTTTATTATTTTATTTATTTTTTATTTACAT